GGGCCTGTTGGGGGCCTCTTGGGGCTTCTTGGGGGTCTGTGGGGGCCTCCTGGGGGCGTCTTAGGGCGAAAGGCTAGACTTTCGTGTTCGTGGTCCCCCTTCTGGGGCCGTCGTGGGGCCCTCTTGGGCCGTCTTGGGCGCCTCTTGGGCCGTCTTGGCGCCCTCTTGGGCCGTTTTGGGGGCCTCTTGGGAACCTCTGGGGCCGTCTTGGGGCGGTCTTGGGGGCCTCTTGGACCATCTTCAACGCCGTGCACACCGAAAAACCGTGTATGCTAAAAATGTACGTTTTCCTATCGGAATTCAATGATTTTCGCCTCCTGATGGCCTCGTCGGGCGCTTTTTGGGGGCCTCTTGGGGCTTCTTTGGGGGCTGTGGGTGCCTCCCGGGAACGTCTTGGGGCGATTGGCTAGACTTTTCGGTCCGTGGTCCCCCTCTTGGGGCCGTCTGGGGGCCCTCTTGGGCCGTCCTGGGCGCCTCTTGGGCCGTCTTGGCGCCCTCTTGGGCCGTTTTGGGGGCCTCTTGGGAGCCGCTTGGGCCGTTTTGGGGCGGTCTTGGGGGCCTCGTGGGCCGTCGTCAACGCCATGAAAGGCGAAAAGCCGTAGATGCAAAAAATCTACTTGTGCCTCTGGAAAATCGATGATTTTGGCCTCTTGGGGCCTTCTTGGGACGCCCCTTGGGCGCCTCTTGGGGGCCTCTTGCGGGCCTCTTGGGCCGTCTTGGGCGGTCTTGGGCTCTCTTGGAGCGCTTCGGCCGTCTGGAGGGAGAATCCGAAAAACATACAAAAGCCCAACGGAAAACCCACCAAATAGGGCCATTAGACGCCGCCCGCGCGCCTCGCCCCTCCCCTGGACCCCTCCCTAGAAGGGCTTTGCCCCCTGCTCAACGTCACTCGCTCGTACCTCGCTCTTTCCGTCACCTGAAGGAAAGAGGACCTTGCCCAACCACTAGAAAACCGACCCCTGAGGCCCCGCCTACATGTTCACGGCCGCCGCGCCGCAGACTCGCTGCAGCCACCTCTACTTTTTCTTTGTTCCTCCTGGGGTTATGGTTATGTGGATGTGATGCACCTCCTCGTCTCCCTCCCTCCTGCTCTGCTGAACCTCGGTCCATCATTTTCTCGATGTTGTTCTACTCCCCCAGAGGGGGCCCGACCGGGCTTCCCTGGGGGTAGCGGCAGCGTTCGACGAACACCACTGCCATCAGCGCTTCAGTGTTTCAGGCCCCTGGTCCCACCAGAGGGATCAAGGCGCCCCTGAGCCATATCAGTTCAAGCTCCCCCTCTCCCGTCTCCGTTCGCTTGGCTCAATGCGGCGAAGCCAAGTGCGATGTGGCAGAGCTTTGAAGTCCCAAGCGCGAGTGGGAGGTGAGAGCACGTGCGCATGATGCCGCATGTTTTCTGCAAGGGGCCATGGCCCGACCCGTCCCGCCCAAACGAGCGAGGCTTTACGACCAGAGGGGCCGGACGGCTGCTCGCCCGCTCGCTCGCTCACTCACCCCCGTCTTCATATTGAGTACACAGCGTGAGTAGCATTCACCTCTCTCCACCGATGCTGTCCACTGCTGCCACCGCTTATCCCGCGTGTTGTTGTTGTTGTTGTTGTTGTTGTTGTTGTTGTTGTACTTGTTGTTGTTGCCGCCCGCATGATTAATTGTCTGGCAGTTTGCAGGTTTCGTTTCTCCGATCGGGATGTTATCAGCCTTTCAAGCATGATGCCCCCCGTGTAGTCGGCGACATGTCAGTATGGAGCGCTGTGTTGCTTCCACCGTTTAGTCGGCTCTCTCGCGTCGGCGCGAGCCGCAGTAATGGATATGATTCCGTCCTCGTCGTTGCCGTGTTCTCCTTTTTCCTCCTCCACCTTCTGCTGGTCCTCCCGTTTCTGCTGTTCCTTTGCCCTATTCATTCTACCTCTGGTGCTGCAGATTCCCTCCTCCTTCAGCGTCCTTCTCTTTCTTATGCTCATTCTCCTGCCCATCCGCCACGTTGTCCCTTTATGTGTCTTCTTTTTCGTCTGCTACATTTTCTTCTTCTTCTTCGTATTATGAGTATTCGTTTCTGGTTGTTTTAGTTATTTCAATTCGTACTATGATTAGTAGTAGCATGCTGCTCATTATTCTTATCAGCATCGCCACTAATTTCTGTCATTCTTAGTATTAGTATTATTGTTATTACTACTATTGTTTATTTATAGTTGTGCTTATTTGTTTATGTATTATTATTCTTGCTCTCATTATTACACCGCCTCCTCCTCCTCCTACTCCCCCTCCTCTTCCTCCTCCTCCTCCTCTTCCTCCTTCTCCTCCTGCTCTTCCTCCTCCTCCTTTTCCACCCCCCTCATCTAGTGTACCCCCCATTTTTGCGCATGACACGCTGACCTTTTTTCCCCCGACCTTGCGAAGGGTTCCTCTTGTGTGTCCCCCTGCACGGGGTCTGGGGGGTACTCCTCGAAAGCTGGCCCTGGACACGGGCTGGAGATCGGCAGAAGACGGCGGAAGACTGCGCAAGACGGCCACAACTTACAGTTGCGACGCTGGGCGCGCCAAGGTTGGCCTTCAGTCGGCCCAAGACGCTTCTTAGACGCCAGAAGAGGGTTCTGAGAGGACTTCCAGGACCCACAGAATGATTGATTCCCGTCAGGTTGTCCAATGATTTGAACGTTCTCGCCTTTTCGGGCTTCCGACGCTCCAAGACGGGCCCATAGGGAGGCCCTCAAGATCGCCCCAGGACGGCCCATTTCCCCCGCAAGGCGACCCAATAGGTCCCCACGACAGCCCAAGAGGCCTCCAAGACGGCCCCCAAACGGACCCAGATACCCCCAAGACGGCCCTGAACCGCCCAAAGAAGAACCCACGACTGCCCAGGGAGGGCCTAAGACGGCCTCCGAAGGCCAAGAGGTCCCCAACAGGTCCCCAAATCATTGGTGTTCTCTAGGTGTGTCAGTGGTATTAGCGTTCTCGCCGCCTTGTCGGCCTCCCCGCGCTCCAAGATGGGCCCACATGGAACCTCCCAAGAGGCCCGGGAGACGGCCGAAGGTGGCCCAAAGACCGCCCCAAGAGGCCTCCGACACTGCCCCGAGAGGGCCCCAGAGACCTCCAAGACGGCCCTCGAGCGAGCCCCAACATTGCCTCCGAAGGCGAAAGGGGCACATGGGTCCATGGAGGCCCCCAGGAGGCGCACCGGAGGTTTCCAAGAGGCCCGTGCAAACCCCAACGGGCCCCAGGAGGCGCCCAAGAGGCCCCTCGAAGCCCCGCCCCACAGGCTCCCAGGAAGCCCCCCAGGAGGCCCCAAGAGGGCCTCAAGAGCTCCGCTCCTCCTCCTCCTCCTCCTCCTCCTCCTCGTTCCCCCCCCTCTCCTGTCAAAGTTCCCACGGCAGTCAGCGCAGAGTTCATTGTGGGAGATGCCACCATCACCGACCCCACCGAGATCATGAAGGTCAAGAGGCAAGCCTGGAGTCAGCTTTGGACTGAAGCGGTGGACGACCCCAGGGCTATCTCAGACATGCTCAGGAAACTACATCGTGAGTCCAGCCAGCAACCCTTGCATGAGTTCTCTCAGCACATGCTGGGCCAGGTCATCAGCCAGCTCCCCACGAAGGCTGGCGGGGTTGACTTCATCACGCCTTGAGACCTACAGCGGATTCCTGCTCAGGGCACAGTGGGGTACCGTCAATGGCTAAGGCTGGCAGATCTCCAAGGCACATGCCCCCCCTTCAGGTCCTGGTCACTGTCTGTGTATTGCTTGCTGCCTGGCGCCACCAAAGTCTGGAGCCTATGAGATTCGGGGTCACATCAGAGGGGTTTGAAGATCTCCACGCCCACGGGGACACTCTCTGCAACGCATCACGTTTCGTTTTTTTTTTTTTTTTTTTTTTTTTTTTTTTTTTTTTTTTTTTTTTTTTTTTTTTTTTTTTTTTTTTTTTTTTTTTTTTTTTTTTTTGTTTTTTTTTTTATTTTTTTTTTATTTATTTTTTCGATAGCTGCTGGACGAGTCGGCAGGAGTCCTGAGCATCTTAACCTCCACCTTGTTGCTTGACCTTGAGAAGTTCTACGACTCGTTGTCTTGGGTTCTCCTCGGGGGGCTGCGTTGCAAATGGAGTTCCCCTCCATCGTGACTTGTTTGGAGGTGCAGCTATGTGTGAACCCGCGCTTCCTTCGCTGTGCTCAAGGAGTTGCCGAAGCTATACTACCTACCAGGTCCATCGTGGCAGGGTCACCACACGAAGTGCGACTGTCCAAGCTGCTCTTCCACCATTTGTCGCAGAGGGCCCAGCAGCGCTCAGACTTTACCATGTTCTGGACGTTCATAGATGATGCGGTGCTCCAAGATGAAGGTGCGAGTCGGCTTGTTGAAGAAAGGGGCTGGGCTTCTGCTTCTTATTTCTTACAAGGGTCGGAAGCTACGAGACTGGTAGTCTTTGGCAAGACGTTGCTCACGGCCAGTGCTCGCGTCTGGGCAGGAGCATGACGAAACGCATGGGAAAGTTGGGCGCCCCTGTCTTATATTGTCTCGCCGCCGTGGACCTTGGAGTGGAGAATTATGGCGTTTAGAGGAGGTCAATTCGCAAACCGTCTCAAAGGACCGCCTCCACCAGCAAGCGGGTTCTTTGTATCCATCGTTTTCGGCGGCATGCGAAGTTGAGGGAGATATGCCAAGGCTTTGAATGCACTGGTGCATTGCCTCGAGCACCATACGGGCATCAGGTGCAAGGGCTCGCTCCTCATCAGTCCCGCCAGTCGCATAGGCAGGCCGCCAATGCCGGCGCGGGTCTTCTTCGTGGCTGCTGCCTCACCAGCACGCTCGAGGTTCTGTATGGGCGCAGGGAGACAGGACTGGAGCGTCGTCGCCAACTCATTGTTGAGTACCTTGCAGCGAGGCAGCTTCATTCTGAGTGTCACATATCGAGGCTGCTTTGATCAAGGTCGCTCGCTGTCTGGGTGTTGCAGGGCCGTCCCGTCGACGGGGAGTTGTTCGTGGTCCAGTCTCAGCTGTTATTGCTACTCTCATGGACTCGGGATGGAGGGCACCGTCAGTGGCAGCCTGGCAGAGGTTGGAGCATGGCCGCTGGGTGGAGTGGGGCATCCCCGCATCCTCGGCCGAGGGCTTCGCTGCCGACGAGATGGCGATCAGCGGCATTTGGGTCGACCTGGTGGAGGGCGGGTGCTCACAGAGCTGGCGCGCTGCCAGCCATCATGAGGACGCTGATGATTTGGTCGGGGGTGGTGACCTCTATCTACTGGGCAAGGACGAGGCATCTGGGGGTCCCCCAAGCGCGGCGACTTCGACGAGGCGGGCCAGACGCTGCGCGTGGTCATTGGCGCGCAGGGGCCGTGTGTGAGGCAGTTCGCAGCAGGCGCGGCTGAGCAGCAGCTGTGCCCTCGGTGCCACAGGGGGCATGGGACTCTGCGGCACAGGACCTGGGAATGCCCGTGCTAAAAAAGATCATGATGATTTCAGGTTTCCAGGTTTGATTCCTCAAGCCCTTGCGGGCGCCGACGCCAGTCCAGGGCTTTGGCTTCGAGGCGCGCCCCCGATTGCCCTGGCGCATCGTATTTTCCAGGAGCCTTGGGAAATTGAGGGGTCGCTTTCCCTGGGGTCCTCTCCTCTGTCGGCCCTTTCGTTGCCCGAGGGTTCTGGCGAACCCCGAGTGTCTGTCGGGGCGACTGAACTGGTTGCCTTTCTGCTGGTCCGCGAAGGCGTCAATGCGGCTCGGCCGTGGTCGCCATCAGGAGGACCCCTTGGCTTGTTAATTGGGGGACAGTTGGGGGCGTCACGTGTTCTCGTTACCAGGAAGGACCAAGACGGTCCCGCGTTCCGAGTTGCTGGCGTACGCCGTGTATCTTGGAGGCACCACTGTGATGTCGCGGACCACTGCCCGCTCTTGGCTGCGTGGGAAACTGGTCGGGTGGATTTCTCGTTGAGAGATCGGAGCGGGGATATCTGGCTCCGAACTCGCGCTGCTCTTCGCGCCCTCGGTCCTGGGGCTGTCACCCTCGATTGGAGCCCGTCACGTTTCGATTTGGACGGCGCGGAACTCTCAGAGCATCAGAAGTTGGTCCGTTGACCAAGCGGTTTCGGAAGCTGCTGAGCGTTCCTGCGCCATGCCAGTTAGTGTCGGAGCCGCCCGCGGACCTTTGGGATGCCCGGTTTGCGCTGGCTCGCCGGAGAGGCCGTCGGGCTCTGATCGAAGCGTGTGTGGCGGACCCCCGCAAAGCTTGTGCCGACGATGCCTGACGAAGCCTGTGGAAGTCGGTTAATGGAGAGGAAGCATGCTGCCAAATAGTGTCCAGATGTTTAACACATGTTTCAAACATGTTTTAAATATGTGTCCATGCTTGACATATGTTTAGAACATGCTTTACACAGTTTGAACATATGTGTAATTCAATGATAGGATTGTTTGAGTGCCCATGCCCATTGTCATGGCGTCCGCAAGACTAAACCGAGCTACGCGAGGCGCTGCTCCTGGCTTCTCGGGCTTGCCTTTTGGAGGCTTGTCGGGCGCCTTGCATCGTTGCTGTCGGGGTCGACCCGTTTCCATCCGAGGTCGTTTTGTCGGTCCAGGGGCCCGTCGCGGTTGGGGGGGCATTCTTGCATTTGTCCCGCGCTGTGGCCTGCTGGGACCTGCGCGGTTTGTATTTCAGCCAGAGGTGTCGTGAGGCCCCGTCCCCCAAGCCGATTTTGGCTACGATTTTGTAAATCCCCCGCCTGATTTTTTTTGTATTTTCTGATTTTTCGTTGAGCTTTTTTTTCATCAACTGCTGTCACGTTGCCGCGACGTTGGACGGACGGCAGCGAAATGAGATGTACGAGCCCCCCTTCCAGGAAGGGCCTCGAGAAGTCAGGTCGCATCGGCAGGGACGAAATCTGTTCTTAGACTGTTGGCACCGGTTCAGCAGCGGTTGCGTGCCGCCGTTTCGGGTTTGGCCATCTCGGGTCCTTTTTCCGTCCGCGGTGGACCGGCTAGGGGGCGTTCTCCTTCTCCGGATTGGGAGCGTTGGGATCCGAGTTGCGTCTGTGCCCTCCTCCTCTGCACGCTGTGTTCGCCAAACCGTTTCAAAACGCTTCCCTCCCTCTCCTCCTCGTTCCCCTTCCTCTCCCCAGTGTCCCCCCAAGGGGTTCCACAACGGCTGGGGAATACATGATCCAATAGCTTGGCCAGACTTCGGCTCAACGTTTGGCCGCACGGGCGTTTCCAACAGGCAGTGACGGCGGTGATTCGGCGCAGGCGTCGTAGATTTGTTTAAGTTTGAGGACTCAGGACAGAGGACTACAGGGGACTTGAGAACACCCCAACCCGTGCCTCGCAACACGGTGGCCGATGAGACGCTTTGCTTGGATCCCCCGTCGAATTCACGTCTTTCTCGCAAGTCCCTGCCCACTTGCGCTCCAAGTTCTATCAGGTTTGGGATACATGGCTTCTAGGACATACTGGTGAGCGGACTCATAGTAACTCAGCAACATGGGAAGGGGCGGGTGGAAAGGCGTACGGTGTTAGATGCGGCGCGCGCACACCTCTCTGGCCCCCTCTCCCCTCTCTCTTCCTCTCCCCCCTTCCCCCCGCCCCTGTCCCTTCGCCGCACCATTCCCCTCCCCGTTTCTGCTTGGCCCCCCTCTCCAGCTACTTGGCGGCTTTCGTCCAGGAGAGAAGCGAAGCGAGAGAGATAGGGCGACGAGATCTATGCATATCCACTGCTCCTGGCCAGGCCAATCCTGGGCCCAGGAGCGGTGTATACGCCCTCCTGGCCTGGCCAGGGAGGCATATACACAGCTCCTGGGCCCAGGATGGGCCTGGCCAGGAGCAGTGGATATGCATAGATCTCGTCGCCCTAAGAGAGAGAGAGAGAGAGAGAGAGAGTCAGGGAACCAACCGACACACACATGATCGTCGGTTTGGACCTCCTGTCCCCTCTCATGATGCTACCTCCCGCCGCTGCGGCTCCCCATCCCCGCCTCCCCCCCCTCCTGCCCCCCTCTCCTCCTCCTCCTCCTCCTCTCCTCCTCCTCCTCCTCCTCCTCCTCCTCCTCCTGCTCCTCCTGCTTCCTCCTCTTCTCCTCCCTGCTCCCTCCTGCTTCTCCTCCCTCCTCCCTCCTCCTCCGCTCTCCTCCTCCGCTCCTCCGCCTCCCTCCTCCCTCCCGCCTTCCCCCCCCTCCTTCCTCCTCCCTTCCCCTCCCTTCCTTCCCTCCCCCTCCCCCCCCCTCCTCCTCCCCTCCTCCTGCTTCTTTTCCTCCTCCCTCCCTCCTCCTCCTTCCTCCCTCCTCCCTCCTCCTCCCTCCTCCTCCTCCTCCTCCTCCTCCTTCCTCCTCCTTTTTCTCCTCCTCTTCCCTTGGTCACGCCCTCCCCCCCCCCCCACCCACCACCCGCAGGAACAACGACACGGTCTACGCCGTCCCGTCCATGAACGTTCCCAACTCGGCCAGGTCGGCCGTGGTTCGCCGCCTGTCCACCGACTCACAATCGCCTTCCATGCAGGATCAGACGCCTGCACAGAGGAGCGTCTGCGAGCTCTTCCGGCGCTTCGACAGCGACAACGACGGGGCCCTCAGCGAGGCGGAGTTCCGAAGGGCGTTCGCGAAGCTCACCCGGGGCAGCCTTACCGACGCCCAGGTGGACAAGATGGTCGAGGCGGTGGATGTCAACCGCGACGGCGTGATCGACATTTTCGAGTTCACGGTGTGGCTGTACTCCAAGAACAGCAAGGGAGGATCCGATGACCGGAAAACGCGCATGAGCACGACATCTTGGACGTCTGAATGACTTCTCCGCCAGCGCTACACAGCGGACCCCGTCCCTACACCTCAAGGCGGCGCCTTCGGCGCCCCCCTTGGCGCGCTTCGCGCGCCGGGAGGCGATGTGAAGAGGGGGCTCGGCGCTGGCAGAGAAGTCGTCCGCGGACATCTGGATGATCTCATGCTTGTGCGCTATTGTTCCCCAGAGGGCGAAAGTCGCTGGTTTCCCCGCCCTCGACGTCCGAGCTGGCAGCGTTGTCGAACGAGCTGACGCAGCTGCGCGAGCAGTCGACCCAGCTGCAGGCAGAGGTCAAGGTTCTGCAGGCAGAGCTCAAGGTGAAGAAAAAAGCGCTGGAGCAGATGGAGGTGGAACACGAGGACCCGCACCACAAACTGAGGCACCGTTTCCGTTCCTGTGGGGTGGAGGACTATACCTCCCAGGGACAGGCCGACGTGTACGGACTGCCCTTTCTCTGGGCGCCTGGGGCAAAGCCCTACGCATGCTCACACACACAGACACACGGACACACAGACACACACAGACACACAGACACACAGAGACACACAGACACACGGACACACAGGCACACAGACACACAGACACACGGACACACAGACACACAGACACACAGACACACACACACACACGCACTCCTTCCACGTCTCCCTCCTTGAGGACGAGGGGGAGGGTGGCGAACCCTGATGGTCCGCTACCGAAAATTTCCGGTAGCGCTCCGCAGAGATCGGTCGCTACCGAAATACCGAAATGTAGCGCCCAATACCGGTATCAGACCGTTCCGAAATCCGCTATCTCAACGCCCTCGAACGAAGATCTGGCCGCTACCGAAATTCGGGGTGCGTCGAAATCGCTACCGAAAATTTCCGGTGCCAGACCACCTGGGAAGAGCGTGGGGAGGGTCGCCTCCCCCCTGGCCGAGGGCGAGGTCCCGAGTTGTTTTTTGACGGTCCCGAGGCCCGGTGAGGGCCCCCAGAGGCCGAAAATAGCGAAAAACCTCCCGTCGTGATTTTTTCATGACCCGAGGGGGTCTGGGGGTGGAGAGGAGCGTGGGGAGGGTCGCCTCCCCCCCCGGCCGAGGGCGGGCGCGCGCCGACGCGGCGCGTCCCAGCCAGGGGGCCCCGCGCTCGGCGCGGCCCGCCGGCGGAGGAGCAGAGCGCGCTCGGCGGGCCCGCCGGGGGAGGGCCCGGCGGAGGGCCCAGCGGAGGCGGCGGTGACGCAGCATCTCTGCGCGCACGGAAGGGGTACTGAAAGAATGCCCAGATGGTCTGGTACCGGAAATTTTCGGTAGCGATTTCGACGCACCCCGAATTTCGGTAGCGACCGGATCTTCGTTTGAGGGCGTTGAGATAGCGGATTTCAGAACGGTCTGATACCGGTATTGGGCGCTACATTTCGGTATTTCGGTAGCGACCGATCTCTGCGGAGCGCTACCGGAAATTTTCGGTAGCGGACCATCAGGGATGGGTACAATGCCCAACAGCGGATCTTGTTCAGTTTGAGAAGGGCTCGCTGTCCACGCCGCCGCGGCCTGTGTCCATTCGAGACCGGAGGCCGCCTGCCCAACAGCGGCCGCTGTTGGTTTGGGACAACATGTGCTGTTGGGCATAGTACCCATTTTTTCGGTACCCATTTCGGGCGTCCAAAGCATCCGAGCACGGTGTCTGACTCCCACCACCAACCCAGACCCCCTCGGGTCATGACAAAAAATCACCACGGGAGGTTTTTCGCTATTTTCGGCCTCGGGGGTCTCCCCGGGCCTCGGGACCGTCAAAAAGCGACTCAGGACGAAAGACCGGTCCCGGGGAATGGGTCCGGACCTCTGGGGGTCGCGTCATGAAGAAATCATGACGTCGGGGGTCTGGGAAGATCGAGAATAATATACGATGCGATTTGGTGCAGTTTTGCTCAGGTGAACAGCCCGCAATCCCCCCCCCGCCGCCGACGGCAACCGGGCTGCCCCCTCTCTCTTGAGGGCCGGAACAGGATTCATCAAAGCACGCGCGGCGGTGGTGTATATAAGTTTGGTTACCAAGGGGAGCGATTTTTATACACCACCACCACGAGCTGGTGTTGAGTCGGGCGTGTCCTTTCCACGGGGGGGAGATCCGAAAAGAGTAAAAAGATAGTTCGTCGGGGAACAGCTTCTCGAACAGCCTTTGACTATTCGGGGGTACGTTTTGACAATTTTTTGCTCCTCGTCCATGATCCGCCCGTGGGGGGACATGCCCGACCTGAGTCCAGTGCTGCCGTGAGCGGCCGGCCACGTGCCCCGTCGGCTCGAGGAGGAGGTGAAGGTCACGCACGACTTCTGGCGGTCGGTGGCCCAGCACGTCGTGGTGACCATAGACAAGAAGGCCGGGGAGACTCCCCCTGCGGGCCCTGCTCTGCTCGCCACCGCCCACCACGCCGCCCCAGCCCAACCCGAAGGCCCTGATTTGCCCTCCGTCTCCACTGGGGGCGGGGCTCGGGGAAGACGGAAGCGGCACAGATGAAGCCCGTACCCCCCTCCCCCCCGCCCGAAATTCGGGCCTTCGGGTTGGGTTGGGGTGGTCTGGTAGACAGTCGCGATCGTCCCAATTCTCCTCCACCTGCTGCTGCGCACCCTCGCCATGCAGCGCACGGGCCCCGAGGCTCCGCGCCGTGCCTGGCCTCACGGGGCCCTCCACGGGCCCCGGCACCTATAGAGCGAGCGGCTCGGGACGAGCAGCTGCTCCCCGGGGAGGCCCCCAGGGCTTCGGGGTCCAGGACCCGTGCTTCCCCGACCCGCTCCCCTCACGGCAACCTCCCTTTTCCTCTCGTTCCCATCCCCCCCCATCTTCTCGCCCCGGACGAAAGGGGGGGATTGGGCAAGGGGGGGTTACGAAATCTGCTGCATGCAGCTGGTTTCAGCCCCACCGAGGAGCCCATTCCTCGATACATGGGCGCCTCCGGCGCCGGGAGGCGCCAGGAAAACCAGGTACGCGAGCTGATATTCCCCCCCCCCTCTGCTATCCCCCCCTTTCGCCCGGCCCGATTTTCCAAAGGAGGGGTGGGGGCCACGGGGTGGTTGGATCTGATCAAGGGAGGCCTCCCGAGGTCAACCTCGACGGCGCCGACTGGCTCGGCAACGGCAAGTACGGCTTCGTCATGAGGGCGCGCCGGCGCGAGGACGGGCGAGATGTGGTGCTCAAGATGATGGGCATCCGGTGGTCTGAAGAAAGAGGAGAACGTACACACATGAGGCACTCAAGTGAGGGCCTCGTCTTCAAGGAACACAGGAGTTGATATCTGTTCCTCGGCGGAAGGCGGCGGAAGGCCGGCGGAAGGCGGTGGAAGTAAAACGATGCCGCCTCCGCCGGTGGAAGCCGGCGGTAGCTCGGCGGAAGGCATCGGAAGTGAAAATCGGCCTCTGAAGATATGGCAGGTTTTCTTTTAATTCAGGGGTTTTGAACCCGCCATATCGGGGGCTGCGAATGGTGTTCGGGCACCGCCTTTTGAACACCTGCGGGCCCCTGGGGCCTTCTGGGCCTCGTGGCGGGTGCTCTGGAGGCCATCTGCCCGCCCAAAGGGACAGCCTTCCCAGCAGGCGCAGCTAATCCGAGGTATATCCCTGCAAGCACAAGAGTTGGGCCAACACATTTTATGGCCCGAGTGGGTTGAGTGGATTGCGGGGGAGCAGCAGGAGGAAGACGCGGAGAAGGAAGGTGAGATGAAGGAGAAGGAGGAAGAGGAGGAGGAAGAGGAGGAAGAGGAGGAGGAGGAGCAGCGAATGACGTGAGGTGTATGCAAGGCGTGGGGATCGGATTGGTTACTGTGTTCTTGCATGCTGGTCCTTTCGCCCAGCCGAGCACGCAAATCTTCAAACCAGTTCAACCAGGGCGCCTCCTGTACTTGGCAGCCGTTATTGGGCCTTCTTATGGCCCTTTTGGCTCTCTTGGGTTCTCATCGGGCCCTCTTGGACCGGCCCAGGGTCCCTCTGGGCACAACCCTCTTGAGTGCTTATTTGTGCTTCCTGGGTTATTGGAGAGGCCTTACGGCCTGTTCTGCCTTCCCCGAAGGGGGATCAGGAGGCCCCAGGAACGAGGGAACGGCGGCTTGAAGAGCAACTCGAGACTGGAGCAGAGATCTGGCACCGTGCAACCTCTATTGAAGACGTCTACGGCGAATCACCGCCACCCCCTGCCTTTTAGGATACGCCAATGCGGCCAAACGTTTGGGCAAAGGTTGGCCACGTTATCGGACCATGCGTTCCCCCTGTTGTCGTGGAAGCCCTCCAGGGATCACGTGGAGGATGAAGAGGAGGATAATGCGAGGTAGGAAAAGGAAGACGAGGCGAAGGATGAGGAGACCTCTTGGGAGCTTGTTGGGTCATTCTTGGGGCTTCCTGGGAGCTTCCTGGGGGCCTATTGGAGGCCTCTTGGGGACATCCTTGGGCTTCTTGGGGCCTTTGGGGCTTCTTGGAGGTCTCTTTGCCTGTCTTAGGGCGTTCCTGGCCCATCAGACGTCGTCGGAAGCCGTCTTGGGAGCCTCTCTAGGCCGTCTTGGGTTCTTGGGCCGTCTAGGGGGAATCAATGGTTTTGGCATCTTCGGGCCTTCCTGGAGGACCTCTTGGATTTCTCTTGGGCCGTCTTAGGGGCATCTTGGGCGCCTTTTGCACCGTCTTGGGCCATCTACAGGCCATCTTGGGGCGTCTTGGGTGCATCACGGGCCGTCTTGAAGACCTCTTGGCGCCATTTGGTGCTCTCTTGGAGCCATGTTGGAAGTCTTGGAGGCCATCGTGGCCATCTTGGAGGCAATCTGTAGGCCATCTTGTAAGCGAGAAAGCTGGCGGGAGAGCTCTCCGGGCCGGCGCGCTGGCCCGGATACACCACGTGGAGTTGTCTAGAAAACCACATGCCACCAGACGTCTAGCACGCGAGGCAGCCTTCTGATGAGTCAACAGTGGGCGGCGGATCTACGGTAGGTTTGCGTCGTGTCGACCAGCTGCGACCCCAGCGCGGACGCTCGAGGTTGAGCGCCGCCGGCGACCCAGAAGCGATCCATGTTGAACGATCGGACGTTGCGGCAGCGGCCGATCGTTCAAGGTTGAACGATCCCTGCGGTGTCAAAAACCAACGCTGGGGTCGGCACGACACGAACCTGCCGTAGTGGCCTTCGGCCTATTTTGCCACCGTGCTCTGGTAGTGGACCAGAGGCCTCCTGAACTCATACAAGGGCCTCTTAATGGAAGCAAGCGGTTCACAAACTGCCCCCCCTGGGGGCATCAGAATAGACGAGTTGGGCAGACTGATCAAATCCAGCCGCCAGAACTGATTTGTTAATCGTCCGCCCCCCCCCCCCAATTCATCTGCCGTCGTCGTCGTCGTCGTCGTCGTCGTTCGTTTCGTCGCGCCGTCGTCGCCGTCGTCGAGTACAGCGGGCCTGCGCAGCACCGACCCCCTGGGGCATCCGCAGTGCGTCGTTGTCGTCGTCGTCGCCCTCGTCGTCCGTCGTTGTCGTCCTCGTCCTCGTCCTCGTCCTCGTCCTCGTCCTCGTCCTCCTCGTCTTCGTCGCCGTCGTTGTCGTCGTCGTCGGCTACAGTGTGCCTACGCAGCACTCCCCCCCGTAGGGCATCCGCAGCGCGTCGTTGTCGACGCCGTCGCCGTCGTCGTCCGTCGTCGTCCTCGTCCCCGTCCTCGTCCTCGTCCCCGTACTCGTCCTCGTCCCCGTCCTCGTCGTCGTCGTCGTCGTCGTCGTCGTCGTCGACTACAGGACTACAGTGGTCCTGCGCAGCACCCCCCCTCCATGGGGCATCCGCAGTGCGTTGTGGTCGACGTCGTCGCCGCCGTCGTCGTCCTCGTCTTCGTCCTCGTCATCGTCCTCGTCCTCATCCTCGTCGTCGTCGTCGTTCGCCGTCGTTGCCGTCTTCGTCGTCTTTCTGGCCCGCACAGTCGTCTGTCGTCATCGTCCTCGTCCTCGTCCTCGTCCTCATCGTCGTCGTCGTCGTCGCCGCTGCCGCCGTCGTCGTCGTCGTCATCGTCGTCGTCGTAGTCGACTACAGTGGGTCTACGCAGCCCCCCCCCATATGGCAACCGCAATGCGTCGTCGTCGTCGTCGTCGTCGTCCTCGTCCGTCGTCCTCGCTCTCGTCCTCGTCCTCGTTCTCGTCCTCGTCCTCGTCGTCCTCGTTCTCGTCCTCGTCCTCGTCCTCATCCTTGTCGCCGTCGTCGTTTTCGCTGTCTGCTCGGCACAGTCGTTCTCGCGGGCGACCGCGGCGACTGGGAGGAGCAGGAGGAGGAGGAGGAGGAGGAGGAGGAGGAGGAGGAGGAGGAGGAGGACGAGGAGGAAGCGGAGGAGGTGGAGGAGGAGAAAGAGAAAGAGGAAGAGGAGGAGGAGGAGACATATCATGCTTCAAGGGTATGGTTCGCAAACTTTTGGCGGCCTCGTGGGCCTCCCCCGGCCCCCCAGGCAGCCCGGGATTGTCCGCCCTCCGTCGGTTTGCTCCCCCCTTCCCGCTACTGCGGGGCAAGCAGGCCAGCGACATTTTTGAGTCGTCGTCCGTCTCAGAATTTGTTGAACTGTTTGCTCCCATTTGGGTCCTTCCCGGAGGCCTCTTAGACGCGCATCTTGGGGGCCTCTGGTGGACGCGCATCTTGGGGGCCTCTGGTGTGCCTGTTTCAGGAGGGAAGGAAACACACAGACACAATTAATCGTCGATCCCCCAGAAAATATAGGAAAATATGGGAAGTGGTGGGGAAGACAGAAACTCTGAAAATATGGGAAAATATGGGGAATCCTTTTATTTGTGTGTATTTATTTGTGTCCTGGGGCCCCTTCACTGTTGGGGGCCTCTGGTGGACTCTCTGGGGCCTGCTGGCGGTCTCGAGTGTCAGCTTGGGGCGGAGGGCTCGAACTTTCAGTGTTTGTCCTCTTGTTGGGAACCCCCAAACCGGGTGATGAGATACCAGGTGGCGACCTGGAATCCCCAAAAAGGTCACCGCTGGGTTTGGGGACGCGGGGTCACCACCGGGTTTTGTGACTCCTGGACCCACCAGTGTCCGTGACATACTCGGAAAACCGCACGAGTCCCCAAACCGGGTGGTGACACCAAATCGCCCGAGACTCACCGCCAGGTGTTGTCACCACCACGTTTGGGGACTACCAATCTTGGGCTGTCTTGGGGCCCCATTGGAAGACCGAAACGGCGAGAACGCTGAAATCCTGCAGCAACAGTCGGCAAATCGACTGTTTTCGCCTCTTGCGCTCCCTCGTGGGGGTTCTCTTGGGGTCCTCTTGGGTTGTGTTGGAGGCCTCTTTGGCCGTCTTGGGCCATCTTGGGTCTTGGGGCAAATTTGTCAAAAGAGAGCCACACTGGCAGAATACGCCCCAAACGCAGAAGGGGATGGGATGCGCATTCTGACCTGTGAACCTTTTGGATCCCCCCCAACCGGACCCTCCACCTCCAGACCTTCCCCTCGGATCCCCCTTGGCGGGCAAGGGATCCAAGTGAAGGGGCTTCCGTTCGATTCGACCACGGCCTGGCTCGGTTCAACCCGGGGTGGCGTGCTTGGAGAGTCGAAGATGGCCGCCAGGAAGAGCGTCTCCCAGGACCGCCTCGGGACGACGAGCCCAGAGTTCCCACTCGCACACGCCTACAGGGTCGTCGGTTGCTTGATGTCTCGGGTGGCCTCTCGGAGACTCCTCAGGGCATTATGTGGCCCCTCCTTGGGCGTGTCGGGGCCTCGTGGGCTGCTCACGCGCCCCTATCTTGGCGGGTCTGAGGCCCATCCGAGGCAGCAGTGAGTGGACATCTTGTGTCTTCAACAGCGATTTGGGTGGCTCGGGGGCCACCTGGCGGCCGTCCTCGAGTCCATTTGAAACTATCTTGGGTGCATCATTGCGGGTTTCAGGCCCATCAGAGGCAGTAGCGAATAAACATTTTGTGTCTTCAGCAGCGATTTGTGTGGCTCGGGGGCCACCTGGCGGCCGTCCTCGAGTCCATTTGAAACTATCTTGGGTGCACCCCCAAACATGTGTTTAGAGCCCTCGAAAGAGGGAGCAGTGGAGCGGGGAAGTCAAACATTTTAAAGTCCCTGTCAACAATCCGCAAGCGGGGGTCGGAGCTCTTACTTTAAGGGTAGCTCTTTGGGAGATGTTATATAGGATCGGGAGTATAGCTCGCGCGCCGTTGCCTTTGGCTCAAGGCACGCGCGCCCTATTTGCCCGGA